TATCTCATTCCAGGCAACCACCAACTCCTCACGAAGTGCTTCTAGAGTCTGAGGAGGACGTTGCAAATTGAGCAATCTCCTACCCATCATATCCCACACGTGCTCAATTGGGGATAAGTCGGGAGATCTTGGTGGCCATGGTAACAATGTGACATCATTATGTTGAAAGAAGTGTATTGTGACTCTTGCAACATGTGGTCGGGCATTATCTTGTTGGAAAGTTGGATCTACCAGGGTGTCAAGATAGGGTAAAAGATGGGGTTCTAGAACTTCGTGGATATAACGCTGCGCGTTCATGTTACCTCTGATGAAGATTAAAGGTGACCTGGAACCATAAGCTATAGCACCCCAAACCTTAACTCCAACAGTGTGACGAACATGTGTGTCAACAAAAAACTGTGGATTCCTCCTTTCACCACGTCGCCTTCTAACCCTGGCACTACCATCGTGCATGCCTAAACAAAATCGAGACTCGTCACTAAAGACAATACTGTTCCATTCCTGATCCCAGAGTGACCGTTGTCTGCACCACTCAAGGCGATTACGTCGGTGTTCTCGAGTTAAAGGGAGGACCCAGTGTGGCCGGTATGAAAACAAGCCAAAACTTCTCATTCGTCGGTAAACACTTTGCATGCCAATAGGTCTTCCGTGTTCTGCAAACCATTCATTTGCAATGGACCTGGTAGTGGAGAAACGGTCCCTTAAGGCCAATAATCTTAGGCGACGATCTTCACGGTCTGTTGTTCTACGGCAGCGTCCAGTGCCCCTTGCTCTTTGCGTATGGCCTTCTCGAAGCCATGCCTGACAACACCTAACCACAGTGTCTACACTTCTTTGCACTATCAGCGTCATCACGTTTAGGCATACAGCTACAAAACAAGTGCACATCAAGTGAACAAAATCTAGTTCTGAGTTGACATTTTATAGAAAAACCTATATCATGTCACAAAAACATATAATGTCAAAAAAGTCATGTCACATTTCAAGATACGTAATACCCATGCGGTTTGGACTCAAGTTTTTACAGGGTGGGCCATCAGAATGTCATTTTGATGTGTCAGAATATTAGATATATGTTTGACAATTTCGAAATGAGACGGTATGAAGCTGGTATATAAATAAACATAACTGCTACATTTGGGGATCAAAGAGTCCGACGTCGTCAAAGAGAAGCATACTTTTCTTCTTAGAAACATCAGTTTGTCTGACGTAGAATGAGCTTCATTGCTGCCAGGACTTCAACCTATTTGATTTCGTATCATACGCTGTATATTCATACATGTATGCATAGCTATGCATATTATGTCAGACCAGAATAACTGCTGCCGATCAAACTGTTGTGATACCAGGAATTAATTTAAGCCCTTTGAATAGTCAATTAGTGATGCTGGAATAAGTTCTAGAACTGAGCCCAATTTGCGACGTTCGCTCATGTAATTTACTTCGACATCATTTATTCATATATATGCGCACTGCAGTACTCCTACTTTGATATCTTGGTGATGTACCGGGAGATTAAATTCAATCTTCTTGATTTGATCACATATATGAACGAGGGGGAGATTCTTTTGTCCAATTTATCATTCAACTAACGAGTGTTTTTACTCTAACTTGCTCCATAAAACTACAATTATATTTTTAGTGCGATAAATGAAATCAATTTTGCTGAGAAACGTTTTTATTAAAAATCAGAGTTGCAGATAATTAACTACGAATTACCTGCTCGTAGCACCAGCTTTTGAATCCCGTTGTCAAAGAACGGTGACGCCTGACCGTTAAACCAGTTAGTAACTGTTTCTTTCTACAGTATACTCAGATAAGAGATAGACCGGACATAAACAAGACCACGTGATCATCGAACGCTGTAACATTCGGCAGGGACGTATTAAGAGTCACGCAGTACATATTTTAGATAGTAGATGCTGCTTTGCGTAACTTTGTAGTAAATTAGCACAATTCGATGTGTATACGATTGGTGATGGATATAGGATCATGTGGGGGTGGGGTAAGAAATATATAATGATGTAAATATACATAAGGGTTTCAAAATATTCGCTTCGATTTCCAGCTTCGGATGCCGCCTGATGTTTGGTTAAATACAGTCGAATATAATCTCAAAATGGCGTTTAAATTAGCCTAAATTAAAAATAATCGTATATCTCTTAAAATTGCTTTTAGAATATTGATTAGTATATTTTTTGATTTCTAGGTAAATATGTAACCAAATTAAAACGTTCAAAACGTAAAAAAAAGTGCATGGTTGAACATTGTCAGAAAGTAGATTCTCGAATAGGTTTTGCCAAAATGGGTTCAAAAATGTCAATAATTAATTAAAAAATACAGTAGCTTTATAATTACTCATAACTTACCGAATTTGATGAACGACATCTTTTATTGGAAAGATGAGCTTGATGAGCTTTCATCATCGCTACTGCCTGAAGCACCAACGTCAATAATGAATGGCTCGACTTGTTCCTCTAAAATATTGTCCAGTTCCCACATTCTCTTTTCAACTTTGTCTTTCACGTGCTTAATACAGTTTTCCCATTTTTGCGCTGTTATTAATTCTAGTGCTTCTTTGAAAAGTCCTTTGAGGTCACAAAATTTAAAAGTTGTATTGTGCTTAGCTATATAATTTTTAACCTCTGCCCATATGAGCTCAATGGGATTGAGCTCGCAATGGTATGGAGGTAAACGGAGCACAGTTTTATTTTGACTTGCTGCCATTTCGTCAATGGCGTATTTTTGATATTCCGCCTTGTGATCCTTGACAATTCTTAATAATTGTACTTTCAGCATTGCTTCTTCAAAGTTGATATTTTTCGAGCGGAGCCAATTTTGAACATCAACTTTCCTTGAAGCCGTTGTTGGGACCTTCTCCATTCTTCGAGAATGATAAGGCGCATTATCCAACACAATTACTGCGTTTTCCTCTAAGTTCCTTAAAATATTTGAAAACCACTGTTCAAACGATTTGCCATTCATTTCCTCGTGGTAATCTCCAGTTTTCTTAGACTCAAAGCACCACAGACCGTCAACAGCAAATCCATCCTCACTGCCAATATGGCAGATAATGAGCTTTTTCCCTTTACCTGGAAATCGAAGTACTAACTGGTGTAGATTTATTTCAATAAGCGAACCTTTTTCAAATGTTTTCATCACATTCAGCGAAAAAACATTGAGACATGAGTATCAGATTGCTATAATTGGGATTATTTAGTCATATTGAAAGAAAGAATATTGAACGTCGTATGATTACTCAGCGCTTCACAATTTAATTTAAAGTTATAAACCTTTAAAAAATGAATGATCAGGAACCTGAAATACGCGCAAATATTAATATTAACAAATTATAACTTTATAAAGCTTAAAGTATGAACTAAAATGATTAGAAATATTAGGAACGGTACACAATATAAAACTTAGTAACTTTTTTTAAGTTTATAATATTCGACATATTTTAAGATTATATTAAAAAATTATTGAAATATCGAAAACACATAAAAACATGGCTTAAAAAAGTTCTAACAAATGAAAATGACAATAAAACATCCACGCATTTTATCGAAAGTTATAAAAGTTTTGTTACTTGTAATATGTTTTATCTGCCCCCTGGAATTAATGTTTAGAACCTTGTTCCCAAGGTTTGAAAAACATCCGATTGTTGTCTATTACTCGTATTTACCTGCTGCATTTTTTAATCCGGTGGACAGTCCATCTAGAAAGGCCCTCCTGGATGAAGTTGCAGAATCATCAACCCATACTTTATTTGTAGTGTGTCCTGCGTTTACCCACGTTTCATCAAGGTAATAAATCTTCCTGTTTTGATTTCTATATTTCCCAATTTTTGTTAAATAATCCCTCTTCCATAGCACAATTTCTTCTCTATCCAGTAGTAAACTATTACGACCCCGTTTTTTCCATTTGAAATTTAAATGCTTCAGTAACGCATGGAAAGTTGATCGTTTGAAATTTGGCAACGTTGTATCTCCATTTACCTCCTGCAGTACTTTATCTATAGTAGGTATTTCATTCCTAAAGAAGAATTCATGCACTTTCCTCCTAATCGCATGCTTATCAGCTTCATCCAATGATTTAACAATACTTTTGCGATGTTTACTGGTCATTGGCTCAGAAAAGGTGTGATTTTTTTTGTATTGTCTTAACACATTAAACACTGATGCGCGACACACCCCAACTTTGTGAGAAACCTTGACAACAATTTCTTTGATGGTTGATGCCTCGTTCTCCTCGCGCTCGATCTTATATATATATTCAAAAAGACCTCTTTCATTTCTGCACTCAGGTGTCTTTTTTTAGAGCGTTTCCTAGGTGGACTACAGGAGTTTACAACTTCATCGGCAGTATCTGTACTACTAGGCATTTTGCGCAAGCAGTTGATAACAATAACAATCAATAACAAGGTATAACAATAACAACGACAAACTCAACAACTTAATAAGATAACAAACGAAAACGTCCAAAGAAATATCAAATTGCAATGATGCACACGACATACGTAACACGTCTGAACCTGAATGTGACTCTGCCTTGATACGACTGCTCTGCCGCTCGGCATAGGCATTTAATTGCGAATTGACCAATGAGGGCTCCTGTTTTACGTCGAGACGGCGGCGTTAGCGTGAAAATCACCCGAACCTTTTGTTTACATCCGGTCTATCTCTTATCTGAATATACTTTACATCTCATCATTTCCCAGGCGCTTTTCACCAAGAAATGCCTCAAGTTTTTTAAACAGAAAAAAGTTTGATGGTTCTAATGCCGGCTTCTCACTGCGCGTGTTGACCCGCGCCACGCCGCGCCGGCACGCGCCTCGCGCAGTGTGAAGAGCTTGGCGCGGGCAGGCGCGGCGTGGCGCGACCTATCCGCTAAAAGTCGGTAACTTCAAAGGCGCGGCGCGGCGTGTACCTACCCAGACAGACGAACACGATTGAACTCGTTCATTTCATTTTGACTCGTCCTACGTTGAGGTACTGTGGTGAATATGGAGTGGCCGAATGAAACGATCGCCGAATTTTTAACTTTGTATGAAGGCGAACCCTCTCTGTGGAATTCGAAAAATGCGGAGCATAAAAACAAAAACGACCAGCATGATGCCTGGCTGCGAATTAAACAGAATTTAAAAGGTGGTACCATACCGTTACAAGAAATTAAAAAGAAAAGGGATTCTTTAATGGGAACCTATAGAAAATTAAGAAGTAAAGTTTGCCAATCAATAAAGTCTGGCAGCGGTGCTGATGAAATCTATAAGCCTGACTGGCCATTTTATAATGTGATGGCCCAATTTTTGAATGATGTGTATACTCCAAAGAAAACGAAGGATTCTGAGGTAAGTACTTTATTTACTTAAAAAATTAATAATTATTTTGCCAGGCAACCGCACCGTTTGTTATAAAATATTCTGCAAGCTGGTCTCTTATATTCTTGGCGGAAAGAGGTGCTCTTCTTGGCCGATTTTGGAGTGGTAGTAGGGAAGCAACTCCATTTTGGTCATCACGCCAAGAACCGGGCTGAATCTCGCCATCATCATTTTCGGTATCAAAGGATCCAGGAGGGGTATATATAAGTCTAGACCTTTTAGACCGTCTCAAAAAACAAAAAATTGTGTAACAATGCACATGTCATCACAATATCAGTTACAATATCTGGTTGTAAAAGCATGGGTTTTCTTAGTACTCTAAACACCGCAGACATAATGCCAAAGACATTTTCAACAATCCGTCGAGCTCGTGAAAGGCGGTAATTAAACACGCGTTCTTTAGATCCCTTATTATGAGTTCCAGCGTAAGGTTTCATCATATTTTCCGTTAGAGCAAATGCACTGTCTGCAACAAATACGTAAGGTAGAGGTGTTACTTTCAGCGGTAAGCAGTCTGGCGGTGGAAAACCCAATTCCTTTCTACAGATTTGTTTATATAAGTTGGTGTTTCTGTATACACCACCATCGCTTATTCGGCCCTGGCACCCACAATCCACAAAAATAAAATTGTAATCCGCGTCGACTAAAGCCATTAATACAACACTGAATGTTTTGTGATAGTTGATAAACTCAGATCCACTATGAATAGGACTTTGTATTAGCACATGTTTTCCGTCGATAGCTCCTAAGCAGTGAGGAAAATTCCAAGTTCTGCGGAATCCTTTCTCTATCCTTAACCAGTCAGATGATGTCCGTGGCAGCTAAAACAAATAGAAATATTGTAAATTATCATGAATATTTCTTATTTTTAGGTCACTGACGACATAGAAGAAATAGAAGATAACCGTGATTTAGATGCCTCTGAAGATAGTAAACAGGATGATGAAGAATCAGTTCAATTTAAAAGACCAAAACCTCTTCCTAAAAAACGTGCTAAAAATATTGATATAGAAAATAAAATGAACGAAGCATACGACTATATAAAACAAATGACTCAAAAACCCCAAATCCCGCAAGATGAATGTTCATTATACACACAATTATTGTGCAAAAAATTGAGAGGCTTACCAGAAAATACACGTGAAATAGCGATGTTGGAAATTGATAGATTGATTTTCAATCTGAAGCAAAAAGAACTATCGTCAAACCCACATGCACAAATACTAATCAACCCACCACAGCCCACGAATTTTGGACATTCCGGCAATCTCTACTATCAGCCATCCACATCCTACCATCCATATCCTTCTCCACAGCAATCCCCAACCTATCATCCATCGCCTTCTTCACAGTCATCCCCAAACTATCATCCATCGCCTTCTCCACAGCAATCCCCAACCTATCATCCATCGCCTTCTTCACAGTCATCCCCAAACTATCATCCATCGCCTTCTCCACAGCCATCCCCAACCTATCATCCATCGCCTTCTTCACAGCCATCCCCAACCTATCATTCATTATCTTCTCCACAGCCATCCCCAAACTATCCATCTCCACAGCTGTCGCAAGTCGAAACATCAGCTTCGCAAAGTCTATTAAAAGATTTCTATGAAGAGGAGGGTAGTAATTTAGTTTAAATGGATGATGTCAATTTCTATTTGTTTACGATTTGAAAAAAATAAATGCTTAATTCTACTACTTACTTTTATTTCTTGTGATAGTTCTTTTATCAATGCTTTACAAACGTCCGTGACACAACTTGAAACTGTTTGGATAGATACTTTGAAAAGATATGAAAGGCTTGTGTAACTATCTCCGGTTGCTAAAATCTGAGAGCAATTGCAAACCGTTCTTGTACTGGAATACATTTTCTCATATGGGTATCTTGTTTTGCAATGATAGGGCCTATTTTATTCATTAGATAGTTGTAATCTTCTGGTGCCATTCTACAGAAGTTCTCAAATTTTCTGCTCGGTTCTTTAACAAAATCCGATAGCATATCTGATCCATTGTATCTGAAACAAAAATACAATAATTTTTACTAAATTTTCCGGCAGCAAAGTTTCATTTTAAAACGCGCCAAACTTACCAATAGATACCATCAAATATATTGATAGGATTCTTAAAAATTACGTACCTATGTAATTATCTCAAAATACAAACAATGATTACCTTGACCGGCTCTTATTGAACGTTGACATCCACCAGCGTCTCCTCTTCTTGTTTTTGTTAATTTTATTAAGTAAACGATATCCACAAAATAAGACAAAAACGGCTGATGCAACAGCCATGCCTTCTTCTTCAGTGGCATTGCTCCATGGCTGGAGGTGGCAATTCGACTCACAAGACATAGTGCGCTGCGCTAAACAGACTGAATCAAACTGAGGTGTAAAGCCAGAAGGCACGCGCCGCGCCGCGCCGCACAAACGGGTGGCGCGGCGTGTCGCGTGGCGTGTTCTTGCGCGTGGAGCGGCGCGACGCGTAGTAGCACGCGTAGTGAGAAGCCACCATATGATGGATGATCCAGTGACTCTCAACGAGTTGCGTCGGTGTTCTTGCTGCACCGTGAGGCTCAGCATTTATAGCAAGACGATTTTTTTTGCGCTTAATGCCGAATTACTGAAATCACTTCACAATCGGCGGGCTTACCGAGTGGCATAGCAACAAACAAACCACGCAACCAACACCCACAGAGACGTAAAACGTAATTCCGGCGTAGTGAAAGACTCGCTAAAAGTGTACGGAAGTCACGTGACAGGATGCACATCCATAATCCCAATCAGTTCTTCTTTCAGAAATGGCCCTCGTATGTCATTTTAGAATTTTTTTGCGATTGTAATACTTTGGTGCTTATTGGCATGATAAGAAAAATATTGGAAGTGCTTTGTTTTCAATCGATCATTATGTAACACTGATAAACACAGGATTTGTGACATGACAATTTTTGGGTGTATATTATGTATTTTGAGACCCTCAAATCAAGTCTACAAGCAGAATTTTTCTATCAACCACAGATATTCGGTAACATCTACTTTTATGAATTACAATACGTAACATCTCATATTGCTGCACTTCTCGGCGTGTATGCGATGACGCACATATACGAGTATTACGTATTCCTGTTCATTATATGCGAGCTCTAGGTTGAGAGATCATATTGCGTTAATAAGTAGACTTATAGCAGCCGAGTCAGTTTACGTTTTCTGTGTTGAAGAGTACTGAGATGTTCTGAGTACTGTTAATTTTTGTTAAAACGGTGTGTTGTTTTTAGTTAATTGTGATCGAGACTAGCTTTATGGACAATGCTTAGAAATTGCTTAAATACTGCGAACAGTTTTTGTAATGTGTGCGGAGAGCTAACTTTTAAATCCCAAAAACATGCTTTGACTCCCCTTGCGTTGAAAGCATAGGAACTTTATTTTGGCATTAAAGTTGGCGACCAAGATAAACTATGGGCACCTCATATATGTTGTAAGACTTGTGTAACGTTGTTAACAGGTTGGTTAAGAGGCGACAATCGTAAAATGCTCTTTTGCGGTACCAATGATTTGGAGAGAACCGAGAGACCATACTACTGATTGCTATTTTTGCCTCACAAATATTAAAGGTATTAGACCAAAATCGAAACATACTGTTAAGTATTTTAATTTACCATCAGCTTTGCGGCCCGTTGAGCATAGTGATAAACTTTCTGTCCCAGTTCTACCAGAATCTTGGGCTTTGGATGAAAAAGTCGAATCCACCGATTCTGAAAGAGATGGTACAGAAAGCGTAAAAATTTCCGATCCTTCTTTTGGCCGCTCAACAGCGCCGCATTTGATCACACAGGGCGAACTTAATGACTTAGTTCGAGAATTAAATCTGTCAAAATCCCAATCAGAACTTTCAGCGTCAAGATTAAAAGGATGGAATCTTCTCCACGGTGATATTAACACTACTTTTTACCGAAATCGGCAACAAGACATCATACACTGTTTCTGTAAAGAAACGGAGTTGATATATCGTCATTATGAACAGAAAGTGGCCACTACGACAGGTAGTAACTCCGGGCCTCAAAAACATTGCACATGAGCCACTAGTTGATCCCAAAAACGTGTTGCTTCCACCTTTATACAGGGTGGTCGATAAGTCCTTTGAAATTTCAAATTTGAATAAAATTTAACGGGTGAGCGTGAGCGGCGCGGGCGAGGTGGGGGCAGTATCTTCAGTGTCTGGGAATTCAGTCACCATGGAGTGTTTCACTGGAGCGGATCGTGCTTTTTGTGTGCGCGCGTTTTATCAAAATAATGATTCGGCAACCATTGCGCGGCGTAAATATCGAGAACACCACAATTTACACAATTTTACCAAAGTGTCCAACAGCTCAAACGATTAAGAACTGGGTTGCTAAGTTCGAAAAGACTGGTTCGACGTTAGATAAACAGCGGTGGGGTCGACCAAGGACAACTCGTATTGAAGAAAACATCAACATTGTGGCACAGTCTGTTCGTCAAAATCCTACCCAGTCTACTCGTAAGCGTTCCAGTGCACTAAACGTACCCAGAACATCTTTACAGCGGATTTTAAGGAAAGATTTACGTCTGCACGCTTACAAAATTCAGTTAGTGCAGGAATTAAAAGATAATGACGCTATTCCGAGACTAAACTTTGCGAATGAAATGTTGAATCGATTTTCTTCGCTCAATAATGTGTTGTTCTCGGACGAGGCTCACTTCCATTTAAACGGGCATGTAAATAAACAAAATTGCCGTTATTGGAGCCCCGAATATCCAAGGCATAAGCATCAGAAGCCCTTACACAGCCCTAAAGTTACAGTTTGGGCTGCTATGTCAACGCATGGCATCGCAGGCCCTTATTTTTTTGAGGACGACAGAGGTCGCGCATTAACTGTTACTTCGGAGCGGTATGTAGCAATGATAGAAGAGTTTTTGACACCAGCGTTGCAGAATTTTCCAGGCTATAATACGCAGACCTGGTTTCAACAGGACGGAGCAACTGCCCACACCTCCAACACTTCTATGCCCGTCGTCTGTCAACTTTTTCCCAGCAAAGTAATTTCTCGAAGAGGAGACATTTCCTGGCCACCACGTAGTCCAGATTTGACCCCAATGGACTTCTTTTTATGGGGCTACCTCAAGAGTAAATTGTACGACACCACTCCGCGATCAGTTGATGTCCTGAAAGAAAATATCCGAAGAGAAATGGCAAGCATTACGGTGTTGACTTGCCGCGCAGTCATCGACAATTTTAGACGTCGTTTATATGAGTGCCGTGATCGTAATGGATTGCATTTAGACGATGTGATTTTTAAAACATAATTCCCATTCAATAAAGATGATAACAAAATATAATAATTCTTCATAATGTAACTAGTTTGGTTTTATTCCTTTTTTCCCAGCTCAAAGGACTTATAGACTGATGAAAAAAATTGTGAAAGCTATGGATCGAAATGGAAGAGGGTTTCTGCGTTTAAAATCAACATTTCCGAGACTTAGTGAGGCAAAAATTAAAGAGGGCATATTTGTGGGTCAACAAATATGGAAGATCATGAATGATGGTGTATTTGACAAACTGAATTACGAGCTTGGAATGCTTTTAAATCATTTACTGCAATTTTTTTAGGCAATCTGAAGGTGGACAATTATAAAGATATTGTGAGTGAACTAATTAATGCTTATAAAGGAATGGGATGTAACATGTCTCTTTTGGATCCCCATCTCGATTTTTTTCCGGAAAATTTAGGTGCGGTATCGACAACAACATTCTGAGATTAATGTTTATTCGAGTGTTTATTAGTACTCTTACACGCATCCTTATATTTTACGAGTATAAGCTATAAATAGAATACCTTGTTGCAAGAAAACCGTGGGTGATAGAAAAAATCGAATGCCATTGCCGGCTTTTTGGGTACGTTTTACATACTAACCACCTTGTTTTGTCCATGTCACAAAAAATTATTTTAATTTTGTTCACCAAAATGCATATGACCCGAGCAGGCAGATGTCCCACTCCGTGTCATGTACCGTACTGCAGTTCATCATCCACAAGAAATATGACAATACAGTCCAGTTCGTTTTCTGACTTATTCAATGTCATTTTTCAATGATCGATTGAATAAACAATATCCATCTATCTATATCCCTGTATATAGTGGTGATATCTCAGATATCAGGACAAAACATCTAGTATATCTCCGGAACCACGTTGTGCCTATATTATAAGCTTCTATACTCTTCGGCATGAACATTAATATAATATATTAATAAGCGAAACGAGACTACCTTTACCACATAGGTCGCTTCCTACGCTATTATCCTCATAATACCTTCGAAATTTACAGCACGGAGTAATTTTAATTCCAGCTATTAATCAATAACTGATAAGGGCTATCTACGTGATTAATAAATCAACAATCTATAGATAGGAAGGTATTAAAACGTTCCTCGAATTCTTATAGTTCAATGGTCACTTAATGTTCAGTGAAGGGCTGTTATGTAGCATCGCACAAAATGATATGGCAAATAATATAATTATTATTCCACGGCTGATATGAGAACTCATCATTATTCCTCTAATGGAGTAGTAGTAGCAGTACGGGTAGTAGTGGCTGTAGGGGTGAAACCTGGCAAATGTAATC